ATGTATAGAAAGAGGATTCTGGAACATTATTTAATTAAAGCAGCATATTTTATTATCCCACTGAAACACAATTCAAATACAGTACAGTAAGTATAAGTGTGTATAAATGAAGCATTACCTCATTACCTTTTTAAAGTCTTTTTTGTGTGAGACTATTAGATGATCTGGCCACATAAACACAGTGTCTTTGATGAGGACACACAATGTTCTTTGGACCTATAGACTCCACCTCTACCCTTTGGCCTTGTACTCTATGAACTTTATAGCTTCCTATGTGTATGTGAGTGTGTTTGTGTGTGTGCGATGTCTCAACCTTGCCCAGAGGGGTTGGAGAACTCCTGACACCCATGTGTCTGCGTACAACATCCTATCTGCTGGTGAACACAGAACAGCTGTTTTCAGTTCAAATGTGTGTGTGCGTGCATGTGCATCCTATCTCAGAGCACATGCATACCATGTGTGTGTGGTCCTCCTCAAAGTATAGTGTATTATCTTTAGCTGATAGTAGCCATCCCCTATGTGGACACAGATGTAGGGTGCAGTGTAAATGTGGTGTGTGAGCTCATCCAGGCAAGTACTTTCACAAAATGTACCTGTGTAAATACCATCTTGTGCCTTTGTTTGCACTGTAGTCACAAAACCCCATGATCAATCAGCTGTGTGACTAAGGGACAGACAGATCTGATTGTTCTATGTTTAGTTCATTTGGACACAATGCCTATAAGGAACTGTGTGACTGAAGAAATGAATATTAAGTTCTTTCAAAAAAGAATCTTTACACAAGAGTATCCAATTGTTTCTGCTATATATCAGAAAGAGTTCAGGGAAAAAATAATAAATGTACTAATTAAAGTAAAGATAATATTTGAACTGCCTATCCTTAAAGGTATAGTGGAGGATTTTTGCGAATTTCTGGAAAGACCCGCCCTCTCCACTTAAAAAAAAAATATTCCCATGCACAATACGAGCCCATTTCTCCTCGTCCACGCTCTGTTTAAAGGTTGCTCTTTGCATCGCTCATATAAGCTTACTTTCCAAAAGAAGATTTGCAATTGTTCCACTACGTCGGACTCACCACCAGCAAGTGAAAATGGGGACGATGTTGGATGGCCTTATGTAAAAATGTCCCCAGAATGATTGACAATTAGGAGGACTGCTTATTTTGATGATCCACCCAGAAAAAGGAATATCTTCCACTATACCTTTAAGTTGGAGAGGGTAAGCACATTTTACATAAAAAAAATCTGTGTTACACCCTTGTTTGAAATAACTAAGGTAACACATCTTTCAGCCCTCTAATGCCGCCTAAATTCTGAGGATGGTTTTCTTATCTTTTTCAGCTGTGATTTGTTTTAGGGACTCCTTTTATTTCAAGTAACACTAAATCATCACAATGAGATCGAATTTAGGCCTTGTTAGATTATGTTTGCATGTACAGAGGCA